CTAAGACAACATTTTAGTTTTTCCTTTCTTTCTAGTTTAGTCTGTCTGTACGGACCGAACGGACGGAGTGTACGGTACGAGCACGTATATATATATATATATATATATATATATATATCAGCATTTTTCTTGTGTTTGGTTTTATCTGTGTTTTTGGTGTTACCTTTATTCCAATTTCCCTTTCATTGCCCCAGATAATTGAGAGTCAACTGTATACAGATTATTACTAACTTTACTCTGGTGTTGTGCTGGTCTTTCTAACAGACAAAACTGGGATGGTTGCTAATGCTACTAACACATTACTGCAGGGATGGCATGTTATTTTCACAGATAAATCATTAACCATTAGTTGTTGTTATTTAAAAACTTGAAATTTTCCAGTAGTATAATGTGTTATTGCAGACATTCAGTACTTGCACAGACTAAACACTAGAAATTAAGTTTTTATTGTATGTAATGTATTGTCAATATAAAACTAGTTGTGTTGCTAGAATAAATAAAAAATAAGATATAATTAAATACTGATCACCATATTAACATAAGATCAGAATTTGAATGTTAATATTCTACATGTAAAAGATTGTGAATTAACGATGTAGCATATGCATTACCTTGATTAATAATCTGTTTAATAAATTATAAGCTTTATAGAATGTTTAAAACATGAATATTTTCACATAAGTTGAATGTCAGTCTTATGAAAAGGTGTGATGTATTATCCTTTAAAATGTTTTCCAGTTAAAGATCTAGGTAAATTTATGAGATTGTGAGAATTTTTTGTTTCTTGTTTGTAATTGAAATGTAAATATTTTGAACTAATTTATTTAATAGTGTTAAATAAATTCAGTTTTAAATATTAGGATCACTAATTTAGTGCATCATCACTTTCAACTGAATTTCATAATTTTATTATTTACATATTAACAAAACTTGTAAAATAAATCCTTTTGTTCTATCTAAATTATTTAATAAATGCATGAAAAAAAGTGTTTCACTGTTGAATTACTCATTATATGTCAAGTGTGTTAGTTTGTTAGGGCATTTTGATAAGATGCTTATTTTTTTCATTAAATATTTCTAAATAAAGAGAACTGTTACATTTTTAAACACAAAACTGTACAATTTGAATGTTATTTTAAATCTTTTCGTATTTTTGTTAAAGATATACAAGATAATAAGTTGTATAGTGTTTTAGTAATTTGTATGAAATAGATATCACTAATCAGGTTTATATATACATCATGTTTCCTTTACTGTGATATTGATAATTTGAAGTTTTATTTTCATTCTGTAGCTGGACTTAACTCTATGATGGTTCAGAACTTAGCAGCATTAGCAGCAGCTGGTGGGGGAAATAACTCGACAGGAATCCCTGGTCTGTCAGCAGCAGGTGAGAGCTACACTGAGACATTAAATATAACCACATGTGACTTTTCATAAGTTCCATTAAGTAAGCAAGACAAAAGGCACAGCAAGTAATGTTCATGAAATGTAAACAAAATGGTAAAAAAATAAGTAAACATATTCATATAATGAAGAAAGTTATTTACAACATTGCCAAACATCAAATGCAATGTATTGCTAAAACTTTAAAGTTTTATAACACCATTTTATAGATTTTAACATTTTTGAATGTCATTTTTTAATCACTATGATGAGATTTAAATTATGAACTGAAAAGTGAGATTGGTAAAGATTGAAACCCCTAATTCACAATTCTTTGCAGTCTCTGTACCCATTTATAGTGTTAGATTTTGAACACTGTTAATTTAGGCTTTCACTTCATTAGTTGGTAAAGACAGCTTTTGGCAGATCTTTTTAATTTTTTCATGATTTAGAAAAAAAAGGAAGAATTCTGAAATGTAAAAATTAAGTAGTGCCATCAAGGTTTTAATATTAGACAGTGTTTGTTATGTTACACATAAGCTATATCTTCCAAACAGAAAATCTGTTTCTGAAATGAAATTTAAAAAATTATCATTTAAAAATGCATGGTACATACAAGTAGGATTTGAAGAAAAGGAAATGCATGTTTAAAAACTGTTATAAAAAGGCATTCTGTTATTAGTAGAAAATATCAATCTTCTATTTGCAGTTCTGTCATCAATCAGAAACCTTTACAACATATAGTGAATGAAAGAATGCTGTTTTATCTTATAACAGTGTAAGAGGTTGAGAAATGTTCCTCTTGGTGTCAGTGTAGCAACCAGAAATTTGGTAGTTCTTTAGGAATTAAATGAATGTTCAGTAAACAGTTTCTTTTTTATTTATCTATGTGATGTTATAAAAACTTAGGTTTTAATGTTAGCTGCTTAGTTTAAACAGCAACATGTTGTGGGAAAATAAACAACTTCTGAGCATTTCTTTCTTCTGGTCTCAATCAGTACAATACTTAGTGCTTGTAGATATCAACTTTTTAAAGGAAAATATTTATTCAAGCAACATTTTGTTTTCCTTCTTCAGTTTGATCTTGAAGTCAGAGACTAATCAATATAAGTGTGTGTGTGTATGTGTATATATATAATTATATATATCAATGAAAAATTACATTTGGTATTATAAGCATTCTGATTGTGTAGAAACAGGTGACATACTCTAAATATAAAAATTGGTTAATTTGCTCTGTAAATCCTGCTTTTATTTGAAGAAAGTGGATTTTATATATTTAGATCCTATTAGACAACATTCACATTTTTAGCTGTTAATACTGAATTATTAAAGAAAAGAAAGAAAAAACTTTTTTCTGTAATATAAGCTCTTTGTTTTTATAATTTTAGAAAAGGCTATCTCAACAATAAATTTATCTGAAAAAAAAAGCTTTATAAGAGAAAACAAATGACAGTTTGATCTACTATGACCAGTTGGTTATGGTGCACATTAATGAATATGCTAAGTATTACTGTTAACTTAATGTTACGTACAGGACCTGTGAAAGGTTATAGCTTACCAGAATTTAGTAATGTAATTTTTGAAGGAAGTAGTTGTAAGTCTCTGCATGTTTGCTTCATTTAATATTTTAATAATTTTCAGTAGAAGGTTTATTCTGGGTGTATTTAGTTAGTTACAAACAATATATTAATCTAACTGAAGTTGCTTGTTACCAACAAGTCTGAAGAATGAAACCATTCTGTTATTAGTGAACAAACACCAGTTATTTTAATTCTCCTCTACTTCCAATGCAAATCTTTAAGTTCAACTTATGAATGCATGCCTTTATTTAGTTTGTTTTGAAGACTTGTATATTGTATACATTCAAATCCATAGAATATTGTGCTTTTTTTGCTAGTTGGACTATAGTTTCTTCTCACTTTTTATTTTTTTCTTCTAACTTTGTGATTTTTTTTACATTTAAAATTTTAACAGGGTGTAATTATTTAAGATATGATTGTTATTTGGTATAAGGTACAAAATTAACGTTTTGGATTAATGTAATTGCTTTCTCTTTTTTCATTCTAAATAGATATTCAAAAGAAGAAACAAAGTTGTGCTTTTATTCTAATGTAAACATTGTTTTCATTAAAATGAATTGTAAATCTACTTAGTTTTTAGACAGTAATAGTGTGTATAAGATTTATTTGAACCTATAGAATTGGTTTAGTTGAGGAAGCTTGTTTTAATATAGTACATTTTATCCTGTGTATGGCATGGCACAAACCCTAATCATCTGATTTACCTGACTAACTCTTGCCTTTTTCTCCTTCCTTTGATTGGGTTGGTTGACTCTTCATTGTTTGCCTCGGGACACAGCTGTCCTTGGTAGAGCTGTCAGAGCAGGTGAGAAATGTGCATTTGTATGTCTCAGTTTTGTTCCTATCTCAGCTGCTTCATCTTTCAACGACTACAGGTTCATGTGGGATGTGTTCCAGGCCATTTTTCTTTCTTCGTGTTTTGGTGTGCTGTCTTGTTTTGTAGACATGTAGTGAAAGTTGTCAAGTCTTACTGTGCTTTTTAACTTTTAGCACTTGCTAGGCTTGTTCTTAATGTGGCATTCTATCATCACCATAATTTATTCTAAAAATTCAATGCACTAGCTGTTACCAATGTCCATTCTTACTTGGTTGTTGTCCCGTTTAATTGTTATAGTGTTCGTTTGTAAGAAATATAAACTTTGGAAACATTAAACAAATTATGGTTTGCATTATTGTATTTTTACTAACTGTTAATTGATCTTTGGGGGGGATTATTTCTGGTTAAAACTTAGATATTTGTACATTTTGTTTAATACATAAGTTTAATAGTTATATCTATTTTCCTCTAGAATGTACCAGTTAAAATGTTTCTTTCAAAGATGTATACTATCAGAATTCCAAATTTTTGAATGCTTGATTTCTTACATTGTTTTATATATACATATATATATATAAAATAGTTTTGAAACATGACAGATAAGGTTACTATTGTCCTTTTTGAGTAGAAAATGTTTGTCTTATTAAGAAAAAGTCTCAGTGGCTCTGCTGAATATTTTTTAAAACTTTTTATCAGAATACCTATTTTATATATATAAAGTACTACTTTATTTAGTCTTAGCTGAAGAGTAAGGTAGTAGAAAGCAATTTATACTGCTTGGCTCTTTAAGTGTATTTTGATAACCCTTACACTTTTCACCTCAGGTAACATGTCAGGGAACATGTCCAGTGCCAATTCCTCTCTCAGTGGCATGAACTCTATGAGTCCTGTGTCCAGTATGGCATTAGGAATGACCACAAACTCCCTTTCCAGTATGGGGACTTTGACTGGCATGAATGGGTAAGGTGTATAGTGCAGAATATATTTGATGATACAAACAGGTTGATTTTTCATTGTCTAGATGAGACTATACATATAAAGCAATGAAAATGAGTGTTATGGATTACTGAAATTGTTTCGAATTATTGATGATGCAAACAAAATAAGTTTGATTCCAGTTTCTTAATATATGTATGCTAGCACAAACCCGCACAATATTTGCAGTATAATTAGTATCTTTATTGCAACACTAATTCTTTAAATACAGGATTTCTCTAATAATACAAAATAATTCTAATCACAAACACCGAAATCTGTAAGTCCACTTGTCTTAGGCTTAACATTAATTAAGCATTTATTAAATACAACCTGTATTCGACAAAGAGATAAATTAGCTGTAACTTGTTTATGTTTTTTGCTTGGGTTTAGTTTGGGCTAAACTTTACTGTACTTAATACTATCAATAAATAAACTTGTAATGTTATTCTTTGACCTAACATTAGACCTTTTTAAAACTCAATTTTTAATATGTTGTTGTACAAAATGTCTACCGAGATATGCTTACATCCATTGAAATGAAGTGCATGCACATTTTGATAGTAAGATGTGTACACATTTTTAGGACAGACAAAAACTGACTATTATTATAATAGATGTGTATAATAATCTTAAATCTCTACTGGTATGTACCAGAAAAGAAATAAATCCAGTTGTGAACTATTTAAAAACAAGACAGTTTGTGCATCACATTGAAAATGCAACTGCTTGTATGTTAGAAATATGAATGAGAAAAGAATTTCTAATAGTATGAGTGTATCCACTGGTGTGATGGCATTAATTGCCAAGTGATAAACAGAATCTGTTTTTTCTCACATATTATGATTATGAAAGTTAAAAAAAAAGATATACTCTACAAGTCTAAAAGTAAGGAATAGGAATAGAAATGTATAGACGGTTATTTTTTATGAAATTTCTCTAAGTAAAAGTTTCAATCTTTTATCAGTTCTTAGCATTTTATTTCAAGTATATGCCAACTTGAAACTTGAGAACTGTTGTTTTTATAACTAGTTAAGTTTCTCTTACATAGAAGCATTGGTTGTTCATATATACTATCCTACCAAAAGTCATGGGACATGGGTAGTTATGAATAAAACATGTCTTTATTCCAAGAAATTATTAGCGTGTTGGACTGCTTTTGGCTCTAATGACTGCTTCAATGCATTGTGGAAGGCTGTTTACTAATTTCTGGTAGAAAGCTGATGATATTGTGCTCCACTCCTCCTTGAAAACATTAATAAACTCCACTAATGAAGAGGGCCATATTGGCCTTGCCCTAATTCTGCATTCCAGTTCATCCCAAAGATGTTCTACTGGGTTAAGGTCAGAGCTCTGTGCTAGCCACTCCAATGTTCTGATGTTATTCTCTTCAGACTGTGCATTCACAATCCTTGCTTTGTGACATGGAGCCTTATCATGTTGGAATGTGTAAGGGCCTGTACCATAACATAAAATTGCCACAATGTAGGACACACAGAATTGTCCAGAACATCAATGTAAAACTCCATGCACTGCAACCAGTAGACCTAGTCCCTACCACGAGAAGCATCCCCAGACCATGATACCACCACCTCCAAACTTCACTGTTGTGACAACATACTTGGGTAACAAGCATTCTCCAGGTATCCTCCATACCCAAACATGTCCATCAGACTGGAAGAGCGTGTAGCATGATTTGTTACTCCACAGGCCTGATTTCCGTTGATCCACGGTCCATATTCATTGTGCCTTGCCCCATGCCAATCAATGGTGTGCATTTGTTTTTATTATCAACAGCTTGTGGGCTGTAGCTCTTCCAGGAAAATTCATGACATGCAGCTTTCTATGTGTTGTGGAAACACCTGTAGGATTGCCTGTGGATGCTTGCATCTCCAAACACAGATTCTCTAGGGTCTGACAGCGAGATGAGGTAACCAGCCTTCTCAAGATGCTTCAGCTCCTGTCAGTCAATATTTTATGCTTACCTGTGGACTTCCATTTCTTTAGCACACTGCCAATTGTCAACTTGGGAATGTTTAATTGTTGAGCAATAGCACGTACAGACACCTTGCCCTCTGAAACTTTGTTAGCTCTTTCCATGTACTCATCGTTCGGCATTCAAATTCGAAATTACTTCCAAGCGAACTGCATAGGCTAAACTATTTGCACATTTTATCATCACACCCATTTTCCTACAATCAGAAGTGTGTCCCATGACTTTGGGTAGGATAGTGTATTTACAGGATTGTTGACTTCAAACGTTTTACTAGTTTATAAACTAAGTACTTATGATATAGAATTTATAAAGAACACCATTCTACTAATCTAAACATAAGAAACAGATATAAATGATAATTATATTTTTCAATATATCTTATTAGTATACAAATAAGAAACACACATGGATGATAGCATCCTTAGATGTTTTTCCTTCTGTTCTAAAAGTAAAAAAACTGATGTGAATGATAACATTTGTTACTGTATATTCTATTAACATAACTGGTAGCTTAGTCAATCCTGAGTAATTAACAAGCAGATAAATAAATTGTGTTAAGTATAAAACAAGACAGTTGTGCATATTGTGTGTAACAAAACCTATGGGTCTTTTTAATCTTTTTTTTCAGTCTTGGAAGTACAACTGGTTTAACAACAAATGGTCCTAATTTGGATGTTCTTGCCCAAGCCTACTCAGGAATGCAGCAATACCCATGTAAGTTTGATAATCCATGTATGTGTGTGCATACATGAAATTTTCCTCAATAAAAATTTACAACACGTATCAGTTTTCATAGTTTGGATCAATTATCTCTTGAGATTCATTAATCTTGTATATTATATGAGATTATGTCATTTGGACAACTGCTGGTGTTGAATTTGGTTGCATAAGTAAATTATGTCACACAAATTTATAAGCTAAGTACTTGTACAAAATTTTTGAAAATGCTGAATATTTCATTATGATTCATAAAATAAAAATTTAGTTTTACATACAAGATTCCTATTTGGTGAGCATGTTATGTAGGTTATTCAGTTAAGTTAGTTTTTATGCTTATTTATTTGTAAGTTGTTGACAGGAAGGTTTTGAATTTTTGGAAGGGATAATTTAGAACTGGGGAAAAAATAGCATGTTTCCATTTCTTTTTTTTTGAAGGTTTAAATTCTGCAATGTGTCCTTAGATTTTGTAGTTAATGTCCCTCTCCTGTTAGGTAATGTTTATCCTGTAATTAATTTTTCAGTATTAAATTGAGGCCATAGTTTTCCAATTATATGTAGTAATCATGATTTATATAATAATGTTTATAGACTAATGTTATTCATTATCGTTTGTAATGTTTGTTTATAGAATTTGTTGATCTTTGTAGCACACAAGTAATCTTGGTATGATTCATTATTTTTTTGTACAGTGAAGTACTTTATTACATTTTGATAACTGAATAAAGTCATATGAAATCATGGTCCATGATGAAGTATAATATTTTTATATGCTTATTTTATCATAATTTGCAAGTTCGTTATATGATATTTTGTTACAGCTGCTTTGCCAGGAACCTATACCCAAGTTGGATTACAACAATCTCAAAGCCCTGTTGGAAAACAAGTGGAAGGTATTGGATAGAAAACAGTAGTTGCTGTAAATGTAATACTAAATTCTAACCAAGAACATATGTTTTGATACATGTTGTAGCATGAAAATGCATTTGTATCAGAATTGAATTATTTGTTTCGATGATAAACAACTTTCATAAATATAATGTTTATTCAGGTATATTTGTATATAACTATCAAAAATTATACTTTATTTTTTATTATCTGTAAATCTATAAAGAAATGTTTTTTATTTTTCTAGGCCCAGAAGGTGCCAATCTATTCATATACCATCTTCCCCAGGAATTCACAGACAGTGATCTTGCCCAAACTTTTCTTCCTTTCGGGACTGTGATTTCTGCTAAAGTCTTCATTGACAAACAGACTAATCTCAGCAAGTGTTTTGGTATGTCAAATCTTTGAGTCATTGATTTGTATTACTTGTAAATAAACTTTATAAAAAAATAAAACAGCTACAAGAATAAAACAAGTTTTAATTTCAGATACTATTCTAGGTCAGTGCTCTTTTACGGGTTTGATTCAATACAGTGGCAATCTTTGAAACTCATTTAAAGCATAGAAATATCCATGTGGTGGCATCTATTTCCACCAACAGAGCTGTGAAATAGTTCAGACTGCTGTTCGTAGTTGATCATGTTGTAGTAATACAGTCTCAGTCTTACTCATGACTTTCCAGATTGTTAATTTTAGGAGTCTAGTGTATTTGACATCTTGACAAGTGCTACATTCCTATTGAAATTCTCCAACAACAACTGCTGTTTGTCTAACTTCCACAGTACTTACAAATTCCAGCAGTGCCCAGTCATGTTTGTTGATTTTTGTTTATCAACTTTCAATGTTGCTTCATGATTCTCTTCATTCATCATTTTTATGTCCATATAATCTTTATGCTACACTAGTGTTATTACCATTGTTTAGTAATGCTTTCAAAAAGCAATTCTGATATTAAGTGACAATCTTTTAGGTGCCATTTCTAAAGGCAGGAGTGAATTATGGCATGATTAATGCTGATTTTATACAATTCCCACTATGCAAGGTTTGGGATCAACACATTCTGCTGATAATTATTTTGGCAATGAAATTATCTTTCCCATCATGTCATTACTTTATTAGTTGAATATAGTTTTCTGGTGATTAATTTTTGAGTTATGGATGACAGAATAGGTCAACTAACTTTATAAAAACTTGTATACTAGGATTGTTAAATTGTGGTACCACAAAATCAGTGATCAGCTGGAATCACATTTCTTCTTTATTTTTTCTAAGAAAAATGGTAATATTAGGTGCATGGGTCTCAGTCTTATTTGATGATGTAATAGTCTCATTTAAATACTGTACCTGGAGATATCTTTAATAAGATGTAGGTTTATATAGTGAAAAATAGTAAAACTAAATATAAAATGTATTAGTCAAAACTTAAGCTACAGTTTGTCAATTTTTTACATAATAGACTGAAGCTAAGTGTTGAAATAAATCTCTAAAGTTTATGTCCAGTATTCTTTCATGCAGAGATAAAAATCAGTTATAGGGAAGTTTTCATTCAGTACTAGAATTTCATCAACATACAGTTTTCTCTTTTATACTCTAGGATTTGTCAGCTATGACAACCCTGTAAGTGCCCAGGCTGCCATCCAGGCCATGAATGGGTTCCAGATTGGCACAAAGCGACTCAAAGTTCAATTGAAGCGGTCAAAAGATGCAAGCAAACCCTACTGAGGGCTATCCACTGCCTTGACCCAGCAATCCACCCGTTCTTCAAAGGGTATGTATTTATTCCATCCAGTTTTGTCAGCAAAGCAAATGAACATGCTCAGTGTATACCACACATAGACATAAAAATATACCCTTACTGTGTACTGGTCCCATTATAATGTTTCTTCCTAATAATGAGTACCAACAACTTATATAGTGATGTCTTTTTTTTGTCTTGTAATTATTCAATAAACCCCCCATATATAGATATATATACACACACACACACACTTATAATTCCAGACCATATATAAGTTATGTTATAACTTATATATGGTCTGGAATGTAACATAAAAAATGATTGATAAACTGCTTTTGTGTTACTTGAGTTAAATATTATAATTGTAAACCATACTTAAGTATTCTATTACAACAGCTATAATGTTGACATTCTAATCCACATTCATAGTTTGGCAGTAGGCCTCCAACTCCCAAATTATGATATTAAGTTTGTTTTTTGCTGATTATGCATGGCCAGGGCATGTATTTTACAGATCTGAAGAATGGCATTTTGTCACCCTTGGGCAATTTGACATATAACCTGTTCCCATTTTTATGTTTACACACTCATATTTATAGCTATCTACAGGATTATCATTTGATAACTCTTTTTGTATCTAGTCTACTTTATAATATTCTATTATAACAATTGGCCAACCATCTTCATATTTCTTCATCTGTTTGGATCCAATGAATATTATATCATGAGCATTGACTGTTGAAGGGGAAACCATACCAGAAATAATGTTCACAATAATATTTAACAAATGTCTGGTTTCATTGGATCAACAAAACGTCTGGGGTATGGCAAATATCTTTTCAGCCTTTGGCATCAGCTGCTCTTCTGGATTTCATTTATTCATTGTACTTTTCATGCTTGACCTCTTCATTTTGCTGGCTGATCTCCAAACCATTTTCCAGTTGAGTGCAGACTTAATGTCTATTTGATGATGAGGAACCAACTTTGTGACTAATAATGCTTGGAGGTGACTTGAATGGGTAATGAAGAAAAACTTTAAAATAACAACAAATGTACAACGTTTCGACAAAGTTCTATCATCATCAGGTACAAGTGTCTTTTCTTATTTATCTGTGAAGATATCTGCATACTAGCACGGTAGGTCTTGTAATGCTTTTTTCTGCTTGCCAGTCAGTTCTTCACTGATGTTGACATCTTTGTATGTCTCATCTCTACCTAGTGGTATTAGATCTAGTAAGTCCTCATCTTCTAAGACAAAGTCACTGTCTTCTGATTCTGCATTTATGATAGCCACACCTGCAACAACCATCTCTGTTTCAATAGCTGCACCCGTGTGGTCTTCTTCTCTCCCAAAATACTTTTTCAACAGGTTCGCATGGTAGATCTTGGTCTTCACATTCACTTTGTAGTCCATTATGTTGAGTACTTCCCACACTTCAAAAGGTCCTTTCCATTGCAGTGTGAGTTTGTTGTGGTCTGTGGGCAGCAGAAATAAGACCTTTTGTCCAATATTGAAATGTTGATCCCTTGGCCTTATTGTCATAGAAATGCTTCTGGCTATCTTGAGCTGCATGCAAACTCTGTCAAGCAAGTTGACAGGTTTACTCCAGTTGGTTTCTGAGGTTTAACACATACTGTTATATGTTTCTTACTTCTGACACTTCTTCTCCCATCCATAGCTCTTTCAATATTTGCATTGGACCTTGTACTGTTTTTCCATACAGTAACTCGAAGGGTGAAAATCCTGTACTTGCTTATGGGACTTCTCGATAAGTACCTGTCCCAGTCATGTGGTCTCTCTTGGCACCTCTTCTTTAGCATGCTCTTTAAGATTCTATTGACTTTCTCAAAAGGTCCATTACATTTAGGTACTGATGAGTCTGCACTTTTCCTGCATCAGTTCTGAAGTAAACTGAGTCCCTCTTGTCACTCAGGATTTCTCTTGGATAGCCTACTCTGCAAAATATCTCAGGGAGGGCTTCTGCTACTCTGTCTGTCTCTATCTTTGCCAGAGCTATTGCTCCTGGATAACATGTTGCATAGTTGACTACTGTCAGCACATACTGGTTGCCTTTGTCAGACACAGGCACTATTGGCCCAATCAAGTCCACAACTACTCTGCTGAACAGTTCTTTTATGAGCGGCATCTCCCCAGTGGCACTTTGGCTACCTTCCCTCCAGGTATTATCCTTTGACATATGTGACATGACTTGCACAACCTACTCACATCTCCAGTGACTCCCAGCAGATGAAAGTTACTGATGATTCCGTCTGCCATTTTCTTTGTTCCTAGGTGTCTTCTAACAATTGATTCATGAGCCAACTTCATCACTTGACTCTGATATTCTGTTGGTACTATGATCTGTTTAACTTCCCCAATATAACTGCCTTGATAGATTTGGTATAGAACTCCCTTTCAGTCCTGTATTTTATAAGTATCCTTCCCCTTTGTTTTGTGCTTGACTTTCTCCCGGACATTGTACCAAAGTTTCTGCAGTGAAGGGTCTTTCTTCTGTGCTTCCTGCAAACCTAAATTCAGTATGTTTTGACACTTGCAGAAGTTTGATGTCTTGTTTACTCTTCTTTTCTTGAGCTCTGGTGGTGACAGCAGATGCTTCATCAATCTTCGTTCTGTCTAGTTCCTCCGAATTTCTACTACCTGGTATGTTTCCTATTACCAAGTCATGTATTGGTTCCTTGATACACATGGCCTCAAGTTCTCCCACATAATATGGAGTATCCATCTTTATTTTTGCTATTGGAAACTTAATTGTAACTTTACTCTCTTCTGCTATTGTCTTTCTGCTGTTTCTCACACTATTTATATGTCTTTATCACTTAATTGTCTGCCCGTCTTCTATATTCTTGATGTCAGTGTATTGCCCTTGATGTTTGATAGTCTCTACATGAATGAATTATTAACAAAACTTCCTACAATTGTCTGACCTTAACTCTTATTACAAAAAAAACTAAAAATAATAAAATATTTACTCACAAAAATAAATTAATTAATGTTGGTTAGATGGGGATAGAGTCACTTCCTGATCAGCCATTTTAGTCAGATGCCTTGCTTCCATCAAATAGATCATACTTGGTTTCAAGGCTGCACCATTTCCACAGCAGTCACAAGTATTGTAGCCATTGAATTCAGGACACTGATCATTGAAAAATTTTTTTTGACAAAGCAAAAATCATTTTCTTTAGCTTTCTTAATACAATTACATAATATTTTCAAGGGTGATAGTGATTTCAAAGCTGCACTTTTAAGCATTGGAGACTTCTCAAGTCCAAGATATCAAGTTGTACTGCTTCGTACTCTTAACATAGCTTCTCTTTCTTTCTTTTTTTTCATTCATTTGATGATTGTTGACAGGGCTTGATTTTTTAGTATTTTGATGTTTTTATATCTTATTCATTTCCAAAAAGTACAATTAATGTATAGTTGTCAGTTTTGTATCTTTATTCAACTAATGTTTGATGCCTTATTTCCATGGAAGTTTTGTTGCATTAGAAAAAATAAGCCCAACCCATGCTAATGTTACATAGTATCTGAATGAAACAAACAGTCAATTACCTGTAAACCTTTTAAACAGAACAGTGATCTTGGCCAATTACATTCAATATTTTCATTCTAACCATCTTGGCTTACCATGAGAAAAGTGGGAGAATCATGAATTAAACATAATATAATAATGATAACTGCAAACAAAATTTTATGAAAGTTTTGATTTGTATGAAACAGAATAACACTAAATAAAATAAGGCTAGTATTGCCTCTCTCTCCAGGTCAATACAAACGAGTATGAATGACAATACATATCAGCACTGCATGTGTGAACATGTGCAGCACTCAGGCACTGTGTAGGTATTTCAGTATAGTAGTATGTATGAGAGTTACAATGGAAGTCTAGTCTTACTACAGGCTGTACTTGGTGGGCAGCTAAGCCTTCCATATTTCCTAGACTATATTGGACATGTCTGCCTAACATTAGCCGTAGAGTTTGATTTTGTACATTTGATCATTTTAGTTCCTACTGAAGGTTTATTGGTAAGAAGTTGAGACAGCCATGTTAGTTTTATTGTTGTGAGCATCTATACTAGAAATTAATCTCATATTTATGTTATCGACATTCATTTTTGCTGCAAATTCCTGCCTGATCATGCAAATGTCGTGCAATACAATGTGTGGTAATGTAACTAACTGAGCTGTATACACTGTACTGTGTTACCACACATAGCCATTCATGTTCAGTTGAACTCCATACAAGATTTACATGCAGTTTGTCCATGATAAAAAGTGTTGTGACTAAAATAGCATTATTAGCCAATCACAAAAGCAAACTTTTCCTAACATTTTCTGCCCATTTTGGTGGATTGTACCAACTGTACCAACATATTTCTCTTGTACAAAGTACAGTCTTTTTTAAACAAAAAAATAGACCAAAAGATACTCATATGGGGATTCACGTTTGAGATCATAGTTGGAGAATTTATCGATGATTTTGGTCAAGGATCAGAGTCTATGTTACCTGTGTAGTGTGGGTATAGATAAGTGTACAGTAGATCGCGATGCTGTTTTGAATAAGGGTCTGGTGCAGGGTGCTAGTCATCTGTCAGACAACACGGGGGTTTAAGTTGGTCGTCTAAGGAAGTTTGTAGTCATTAAAACTAGAACCCTGTTTAAGTTAGCGTTCGATTCTGCAGATTCAGTATTCTATTTTTTGTTTATGTCACAAACACAGCTTGTGAATCTATGGACTTCTTTCCCTTCTGAGATGAAATTACAAGTTGAATAAAACATGTTTCAACATCTGTAATGCCTTATAATTCATAATCATCTAAAGAAGTGCAAGCAGCTGATTTTTTACAACTTAGTACTTCATCATAGTTTCATACCACCTAAAAATTGTGACTGAAGCTTTCCATTTTTCCTAGAATGGTGCCTAACCCAACCTGCAAATCTGTAGGTGTGTTAGATAAGATGACAGTAACCATATTACCCATTATTGTGTCTCACTGGTTATTTGTCA